AGCTGGCTGTGTGTTGCAACCAATTTTGAGTAGTCAAAACAGATCACAAAAGGTTACATATATTATTCTACTAAATATTGGTGCATTTTAGGTACAATCTTCCATTTCATCTCAACTCTAACCAGTTAGGTCTTACCAGACATTAGCAGTACCACATCTGTGACATTCGGTTCAGTATATACTTTTTTATTAAATACCAGGAATCTGCCTACCTGTTTTCTGTGGTTTCACAAATGTCAGGTGAGACTGGGCCAATCCAGGGACAGGTTTACTAATTCTCTTGGTAGTTTTAGATGCTTTCTGAAGTGAATAACCTACAAGCAATTAACACACAAATATCAACAGCCAGTATGTCAGTGAAAGTTACTGTATTAAAGTTCATGTCACTTCTAAAGCACAGAACTAGAGCAATTCCCCATGAACCCACTCAAAATACCAATAACCTCCTGTTATTGGTGGAAAGTTAGACAAACCAGTTTGGCTACAATTAAAAGGGAAAAACGGTTAAGAGTAAATAAATGCTCTTGTATGTTCTTCCATTTACTAAGGAAATGTACTGCTTGAATTTCATTACCATGTCTAGAAAAATCTACACAAGGCTGACAACAAGCTAATTACAGACAGTAAAAAGCAGGTAGAGTGAACAAGACATGAGAACTACTTCACTGAAAGGTTGGTCAGGCATTGGGACAGGCTGCCCAGGGAAGTGGTGCAGTCACCATCCCTAGAAGTGTTCAAAAGGCATATGGATGTGGCACCTGGAGTTATGGTTTAGTGGTGAACATGGTGGTGCCAAGATAATGGTTGGACTTGATAATCTTAGAGGTCTTTTCTAACCTTAACAATTCTATATTTGAAAACACGGGACAACAGTAATGGAGTCAAGTATTCACAATGGTAAGTGTACATAGGACAAATACTGTGCAGTAAGTTTCTAGTAAATTAAAATTACATAACAAGGGGTCTGCTGAAGAACTGCCCGATACTTTTCCTGTTATTGTCATTAACAAATTTACACAGGAATAAAGTAAATTTGAAGCCAATGACATAGCCAAAATTCTAACCTAGTTTTCAGATTTTTGAAGTGCAGATGTCTAACACATTGCAAAGACCCACATTTCAGAGGCATAAAATATTTCTGACTGTTGCCAGACAGTTCAGTTTGCTATACACATTTCATAATCAAAGGCATCTTTCAGAAAATGGTAAATGAAAGAAATGCTGCTCACTTGCTTTCTTTCTCTGCCCTATTTTCTCTCGGTTTGTGGGTTTGAAGGCTGATGGTCTCATAGTCGTATGTGTCTGATTGCCCATGCTAGATGTAAGAGCTCTTTTTCTTTCCACTTCTTCCACATACACTGGAGCTGTGACTCTACTATTTTCTGCATAGGTTTCACTTTTCCTCTTACGACACAAAGAAGTTGATCCAGTGGGAGATGAATTTACTTTATCGTTGTGACACTTATTTTCAGCTGAAATGGGACCTGCAACTGGCAGGTGTTCAGATATTTCTGCTTCTGTACATACGGGCACCACATTAACACATTCTATTATTGCTTTATTAAGGCATTTTTTAGATTTTGGCTGGCAGGTTTCCGCTCTTGTTTCTTCAGTAGCACCAGGCTTACTTTTTATGACAGTGGCAGAAAGAATTGGACGTTTTTTTGTTTGTTCTCTCCGAGAAGAATTATCAGTCTGAGGTTCCTCTGCAGAACGAGAACTGCAGTGATTTTCTTTGGGTTTATCATCATGAAGTGATGTTACATTATGCATCTCAAAGACTTCATGTAAGTTGTGTTCTATGCAAAAATGAGTTTCTGTCTCTACATCTCCATCCTTTCTCCATTTTGAGGGTAGAAATCTCTTTACCACATAAGTCTCTGTGGTAGATGATATTAATGCTGCCTCAGGTTTAGGAGTCTTTGATTCCTTATCTGACAAACTGTCTTTCACGAATTGCTCAGGTGACAGAATTGTAAAAGGTTGCTCTATTGTGTCTATATCCACTTGATAATTCCCATTTACAAAAGCATCTGGACTTAAAATTCTCCTTGTACTTAAAGCAGGTGCAGATGCTGAGTGTTCTGGAGTGCAAACTGGTGAGAGTGTACAATTAAGAACTTCTGCATTGTCTGAAATTGGTAGTTGTGCTAATCCAGCAGAACTGTAGACACTTTCAGATTGCAATTCGTTGTGCTCATTAACACATCTCTTGACATTACGGCTGTCTATCTGAGGCAATAATTCCTCATTTACAGAGGCAGCAATATCTGCAAATGTAGTAGATCTTCTCATTGCAAGGGGTGTGCTAACAGTACTACGATGTTCCTCTGGCACTGGTGCAATAGGAGACGGAGGTAATTGATTTTCTGAGCCAAGAAGAGCATCATTTCCTGGGGACATATTATTTTGCACTGTGCTCTGATTTTCACATGCCTGAAGTGGACGTCTAAGTTTATCCACCTTCTGAGAAACTTGAAATGTTTTATCAACATTTTTTATTTCTGAAGTACTCTTTGTAACTTTTATTGCAGCAGAGGTTTCTGAAGAGTTTTTCTTTTTTAATTTATCCCAAAGACTCCTCTGAAAAAGAACCATAAATAAAAGTTAGTGTGCTGACTTCCTAAATACTTCTATGTGTAAAAGTGAACATTACTAGCATATTTATTCAAAGTTTAAAAATACTATAAAAAGAACACCTAATACAAAATTCACAATATGTTATTTCCAGCCTTGAAAGCAGTTTATTTGGTCATGTTTTAGTTTTATTCTCTAAGTTGTAATGCATCAGCACCTACTTTCCAATCCAGCAGAAAAAAAATAAGAACAATGGGCATTTCCACAGACAGCATTATTTATCAATTTTTAATTCTCCTTCACCTCATTTTCTAGTAATAAAAACAATATCTGCATCAGCTATGCCAAAGTAACAGAATTAAGACACCATAAACTCACCTTTTTCTTTGGGGGCTGCTCAGCAGCACCGAGGAGCACAGCTTGGTGTTTTACAATGCCATTAACAACAAAAGTTAGCAGCTCTCTGACTTTTCCTTCTTCTAATGGTGTCCATGTCACAGAAACAAAAATTCTTTGTCCTGACTATTAGAGAAAAAGAAATGTTCAATACCTAGCATTTAGGTACACTTACATAACATTGAAGATCAAGTAAACAAACGAGGAGCAGTATATAGAAGTAACATATATTTCGACAATGTGAAATGATACACAACTATTAAATGTTTAAATACCAGTTTTCCCCCCTCTGACATGTAAATTTAAGCAATCACTATCAAAAATGTCATATAACTAAAAGGACATATGCCTCTTAATGCAACTACAGTGGAGAACAAGCAAGAATATGTATAAATATAACACATAGACAAGATTTGAGTAAAGGTAAGTAGAAGAAACTACATAATTTTTTGCATATATTAACCAAATAAGTCCTCTAGAGTAATTCTGAGAGAATTACAGTGGGACTAATAACCAGAGGTTAATTTTGAGGACCTTAGCTGGCCCTAAATAGAAGTGTCAAATTTTTTAGTCAAACGACATGCAAAGATGAGATTTGACATACAAGCTCTTTGAATAAAAATAAATAAAGACACTGTAAATGATCAAGGACCTTACTATTCATTAATTACTACAGGAAACTGTTATCTAAAAATTCATACCAAGACTCCAGCCTGGTTTTATAAACCCATTATTGCAAGAGATCTCCAAAGCGTTTCTTCCTCTCTCACGGACTCTGGACAGCCTAGGTGACCGTAGGTATATGTTTGTCTAAACTGTCCTTTTAAAAACTGGCACTAATTGGACTAACCACATTTTACATTTCCTTGAGAATCGTAAATATTTATTCCTAGCTTAAGCCTGCTTTGCTCTCTATTGTGTCATTTAATTAACGTGCAGAACAGTGTATTAGCATCCTCTTCAAAAGCTCTCTCAGCCTTTATCCTAAACATATATCCTCCAACTTTTTGACAGGTCACTGTTTAAGCACCTCTTATTCTTCCGTCTCTCTCTTTAAAACCAGATTCCCGGAGAACAGCTAATTTCACTTTGTTTTTCGCACCTTGCCGCACACACCCCTCTACTGAGCCGGGATGCGACGCCTTCGCAGCCTTGACAGCCCCCCGGCCCCGAGGGCTCGGACCCCTTTGGGGTGAACCGCGGGACACGATCGCGGCACCCACAGTCACCACCCACACCACCACCTACAGCGGGGCGCAGCTTTCGGGTACCGGCTGCCCAAAAACCCAGGAGACGCGTGGATCCCCCCGGGGGCAGGACCGCGCCGCAACTGGTGCCTGCCCCGCTCCTCCCTCGCCCCCCGCCCCCGCCGGGCACGGCTCGGGGAAGCCCGGGTGTCCCCGCTCAGACACCCGGCCCCGCTCCCCGCCGCACCTGCACAGCGAAGCGGCGATGCTCGATGCTGAAGCCCTTGGCCGGGAAGCGCTCGACCACCACTTCCGTGTGCTCCTCGTTGGGGTTGTCGACTCCCAGCAGGAGCGTGCGGGAAGCGCCCACCCGCAGGCGGCCGAAGCTGAGGAACGGCGGCCGGGAGAAGTGGCTCAGGACCAGCACGGCTGGGCCCTCGTCCGCGTCCTCCGCGGCGCCCCATCGTCGCCGCCGCCCGGGGTTGGCGGCGGGGCTGCACTCCCAGCGCGCCGCTGACGGGACGGAGCCCGCGGCCATGGCCGGTCAGCGGCTCCCGCACAGGCCGCACTGCGCCAACCGCCGCGCCCGCCGCGCGCCCCTTCAAACCCGCGGCTCCGCCAATCGCCGCGCCCGCCGCGCCCCGCCCCTCCGGCTTCTCCGCCAATCAGCGCCCGGTGCTTCATTTAAACGCCCGAGCTCGCGGCGCACGGCCCGTGAGGACTCGGTGGGGCTGCGAGATCACATAAGAAACAACGGGCTTTGGCGAAGCGCCATGCCCCGGAGATCTCTTCACATTAAAAAAACCCAAACCACCAACTAATAAATCAAGCAAAACCAAGTTGTCGGCTTTTTTTTTCCTAAATAAATTTAATTTACAAAATATTTTAAAATCAAAAGCAGAATGAGACGCACAAATTTGATCAAAACATCGCCTCATCTGTTTCTCTTTCATGAGCTTTAAAATTGAGAGGCATACAGAGTACTGTGTTTCCATGCTGTTTAAAAAGAGAAAAAGGGTGGGCAAAAATCAAAACTTATCGCAAGCAGCCCTGCAGTAAATCCTGTGAAGCACACAATGTTAAGACAAAAGAACTTTACTTTTCCATAGCAAACAAAATTACACATAGGACTGAGTACTTCTACATTTACAGTACACTTCCTAGCTTTTCCTTACAGTAAAGGATTTCCCCTAAAAAGACAACTTTAAAGACTCCCATCTAAAATACCAACCTGTACAGATCACATTTAAAACACATTATCTCATATACCAGTGACAAAATATTGAGTTCTTTTCACCTTATTCTTTCATATAAAAGGACCAACATTTAAACATGATCAAAATGGTTTTGGGGGGTTCAAAAAAATTTTGCCATTTTTAATTTAATCCATCAAATAATTTTAAACCAAAACATTTCTTACAAACCATGAAAAAGACCGTATATGGGCTTAAGCAAAATGACTGCCCCGTATTACATTCTGCCAGTGACATTCTTTAATGCACATGATGAAACGACCAAATCACTGAGACCGTATTGTAGAGAAAGATCCCACGTGACAGCAGTCACAAGGACCTACAGATAAATGCACTCTATTTCCCTTTAGCTTCAGGCATAGGGGGAATACACTCTGTATCAGGTAGGCATGTTATTTTCAATATTTCACATCTTTTATATTCTCAGGAAAAAACCCCATATTCATCTACAACAGCCTTCTCAGAATTCATTCATAATTCTACATTCATGAACTCCTATACAGGAATTATTTTAAATTTAAAAACTTGAGGGTTACTTATTTCATTTATTCCTTAGCAGTCCATAACACATTTCATGTTCAATCAAGCACATTGTGAGGCGACTCCTTGGAAGCATTCTTCAGTTCTGGATACTCTTTGACATTCATTACTAGGGAAAGGAGCTTAGCTCTTTGATGATATCAAATAAATCTTTTGTCATTATGGTCTGGCACAACCCATCTTTAAAAACAACTACCCAAATTACAGTCCAGACTAAAGTAGCACTATAGTTTTAAGGAAACCACAGCCTTACAGAAGATATATCATCACCATTACAATGACTGATGTTCAGCATGAAAAGAACCCATGAGAGACATACCTTTGTAAGAAAAGTGTCAGTGCTCAAATAAATAAACTGAACATAAAATCCACTAAAAGAATTAAAGGCAGTAACCCAGAAATTTGTATAGCAAAAAATACAGAATTCAATGTTTAAGCAGAATGAGTGCAACAAGTTCTCAGAACCACACACAGTTTGGAGTACCAACATGGACTCACTCTTCTTTCCAAAGATCAGCATGTGGTAAAGACCAACATTTTGCAATGTGCCACTAATCATCCTTTAGAAATATTTTTAAGAGACACCTCCTTCTTCCTTCTTTGGCAATAAATGCTCAACTGAGCCAATGACTGCCAGATAAAACAAAGCCTTTGTTGTAAATGCATCCTCCAGATCAACAGGACATGCATTCTCCCATGAGTACATATACATATTAAAATGGAGGTGTCAGACATTAAGGAGTTTTGACCCATGCAGCTGCAAGGTACAGATCTCTGCCCTTCAACTCAGTCCTCTGAAGAACTATCCTCCATCAAGCTGAAACAAGATACTTCCACCTACCAAATGAAGTACCAGCCCATGAAAATTTACTTTGCTTATATATGAATTTTAAATAGATGTAAAGCCATAAGAATTATAGCTCATGATATTAAATAAAAATAAAAACTATGTATCTAACAAATAAGCTTTCCTATTTTCTTTCAGTCAACTGGCAATGATCCAGCCTGACCAGCAGGTAAAAACACTAACTCCTAGGGTTATCTGCAAACAAAAGAACACCAAGAACTAGTAGGTCATTTTTTCCAGGAATGACTAGTAATTCTGGTCACCCAAACAAAGAGAGTGCTCGTTTTTCTGAAAAACGAGTCCTTTTATAGTCTGGTTCTTGTTGGGCACCCAAGAACATGACAAGCCCTTTGGAAGTTATTGACCTTAATGTTTTCTGAATAAACAACTGAACTAGAGAAAAAGCCATTATTCAGAATATATATAAAAGGCACAAATATGAAAGAATTTTTAAAAGGACATTATCAAGTAAACACGACCCAATTTCCATTTTCAGATTTTCCTGGAGTGCCTTCCAAACAGACTGGACTTTAAAAGAAACAATCAGTTACCGACTATTCTTAAGCCACTGTTTTGTCAAAATCCTACAATACTTTTTTCTACTGTAGGACAGAAAAGACAAGAAATTACAAAGAGTTAGATTTTTTAGTCTGAGCACTGCACTGACAGCATTGATGTTGGGTTATTTTTAACAGTACAATTACAAATGCATTAGAAACCATGTTCCATGTGCACATGCGAGAATATGAACACGATACACACATGTCGACTTGAAAACTTCACAGAAAACAGCCATTTTCAAGCCATGGAGTGTAAAGACGACAGAAACAGTTTTATTTTGAAAGAAGATGAAGGTGGAGTTAGAAAGCAGGAAGGGTAGTACTTGATAGCGTCCTTTCAGAAGGTGGCATTCAATGGCCTTGTTATTGCTGTGTATTTGCTAGTCGTCAGCTTCTTACCAGATATATTTACAGCATGTCAGTCTGAACATTCCCAGAGCACAGCTCTAAATTTTGCTTTAGAGATACAAAGACAGAACAGTTAAACATATATAGTCCTGTTTTAGAAACTAAACTTTTAAAGTTTAGGACTTCTATTGTGCTTCTTTGGCTAAGTCCTATTTAAATATTGATAACACTTACAATTCTATAACTCTGCCACTATTTAACAGCTCACAGAAATCTTTGGTGTGTTTAGGTTAAGAATCCATTAGGATACAAGCTTCAAAATATGAACATTCAGGCAGTTCTGGCCCCTCTCCTGCAAACTGCTCCATACTGAAGTAGATGAGGATTAACAGAATTTAACACCAAAGTATCTGAATATGATTTAAAATGATCCACACCACTTGAGAGTTTGTAGAACTGTGATGACAAGAGAGCTCTTCACCACAGCTCACTTATGTTCAGGTCACTGAATAAATTTAACACTTACAATCATACATAAAAGTCCAGTTTCCCATTTTAAAGGTTATTTGAGATAATAATTTATGACTAGGGAAAGCTGGGGGAAAATTTGAATCTTAATTCTCATCTTAATGAGAATCTGATGTAATTCTTGCGAGTAATTATGAAGTTACTTCAGATACTTTCTTTGGCATCATATTCACCAAAAAAACGCAGAACAATTATTTTTAAAGAAGGCTTAAAATAGAAAGCTTGATGAGGTTAAATTATACTAGATTTCATGGTAACACCAAACTTGTAGTTCAAAACGGTTCTTTTGGAAAAAACCCTTTATGTTTAGTAAATAAAAAGCTAAAAATAATTAGATATAAAATACTCTCAGGAGTTTGACTTTGGTTTTATAAACACAGTACAAGAAAGTGAGAAACAAAACAATTTAATTAGCAACTCACAAGATATTTATAATTACTGATTAATTGCTTTTTCTTAAAAAGAAATTGAGTACTGTTTTGGAACAGTCTTTAAATTTCTCCTCTATCAGATAACCTGAAAATGGGCATGTTAATGTGGGACTCTGGTATGACTTATGCTCTAACAAGGATGAACCACGTCAACCCTTCATGATTGTTCAGAGAGTAAAATGACCTTGCAAATACTTCCTTTTCTTTCAAAGTCAGAGTGTGGGGTACACTTTAGAAGACAAACAAGATTGAAAAAGCAAGAAAAAATGCATATAAAATTATATAGAACTAAGGGTAGAAAATTAGACAATATCATTGTCTAGATCTTCCCACATTATTCAATAGTAGAGATCAAGGAAGAACTAAGAGGCCAAATTTAGGCAGCCTAACTGTACTCAGGGAGTCATCAAACACCCTGTTTAGTGTCTTCATAAAATATCTCAGAATCCCTTTTCAGAAGAACCTAGTGCCAGTGTTCACTGGCTAGGCTTCAGAGTCCACGTGACTTTAAAACCCTCCAAAAATGCCTGAGGTTTCAAGTAAAACTATATATTAATTTCTGTGTGAAACATAATTCAAAGTTTCTGTTTTATAGCCCTGTCTGCCCTTACAAATTTTAATGAATTGGATATAGTCCTTATTCTTTCAGAATGCTTTCTATTACACTTAAAACATTAACTTAAAGTGAGATGCAGAAAGGCAATTTTTTTAAATTAATAGCCAGATATGTAATGACATTTTTCAGCCACTATCCTTAAAAGATATTTAAGAGCATTATTTTTAAAAGACCATCTATAAGATTCTTAAAAACTCTTAAAATCACAAGAAACACTCTTTCAGTATGCGTTAAAATGTGCCTAAATGTTCAAATATTATGTAAACAAATTGTTTCTCCAAAACTATGCAGAAGACTTATGAGTCCAAATAAAATATAAAATATAAATCTTCGTTGCCATATCAGCCTTCTGGTGGCCAATGACCTAGTAAATTAGGTGGAATGTTATGGTCTGATCACGAATGTTCACTGTTTGAAATATTCTGTACAGTAGGAGTTGTATCTAGCCCCAGTAAAGTTCCAAGATATGACTGGTCTCTGGGATCCAACATTTGCTCAGGCCTTACAGGATGAACAATATTTGCAGGTTGTGGAGTAAGAGTGTATTTCTCTAGAAATGCCAGATCTGTGGCTCGTTGATACTCTGCCTGCTCAGGCTGTGGAGGCAGGATGCTGTGTGACTGAGCAGGATGCTGCACCAGGTCAGCTTGTGGGTCAGACATCGGAACTGGTACCAGAGTCACAGGCACACACACTTCCGTGGATACATTCTGTAGCAAAGTTTTGGCTTCAGATTGATATGCTTTGGACTGCTCCACAAATTGTTTAGCCTCAGTGTGGTACACTTTGTCATCAGAGGTGTACTGCACTGGTAAAGAGACCAGCTTTTCCTCTGGAGAAGATGCCAGTGCCTCTTCTGCAGCCTTTGATCCATGAACATGATCAATATGATATTTCAGCTTGTCTTTTCGTTTAAATGTTGCATTGCAGTGTTGGCAATTAAAAGGTCGAGCATCTGAATGAATAACCATGTGTTTCGTTAATGTCTTCTTAATTCTAAAAGACTGATTACAGATTTGACATTTGTAGGGTTTCTCACCTGAAAAGACAGAGAAATAAAAATTAGTTATTCTGAGTAACACCAAATCACACATAAATATGCAAATACCTACGTGGATTATGGCATAGAGACCTAGTATAAAACAATTTTACTGAAAACAAAGAGTGTATATTTAGCATCAGTTTTGGAATCAGGGGAGCCATCAAAGTTTTTTTACAAGTTATACTGAGGTACTCTTCTCCTAACATACAGTTCTCTAAATACTTTGGATTTATGTTAGAATATAAACTAAAGAAAAAAGAACAGTCTTTAAACTGTTATGATACTGGTATTAAATGATCTCAGTTTGTATTTCTATATATTTCAAAAGGACAATGATTTTCCTAAACATAAGGCAGGAAAAACAAAGTAAAACAGAAAGGACATAAAGCTTTCCAAAGGGATTTCAAATCCTTGTTTAGATTACCACTTGAAACGTAGTAATCTCTGGACCACAGAAATATTTAGAAGATCTGGGTAAATTGTGCAAGAACACACACCAGTAAAATAAAGGAGAAGGTGTACAGAGTGTACTACAAACCTGTGGTGAGGATTATCAATATTTCAGCTGATACATTCAGAGAGTAGAATTTGGGAATGACCAACATAAGAGAATGAATAAAGTCTTGGTGCTTCCTCCTACTCTTGCCCTGAATGCTCAACAACCACAATGAATTAAATAATTGAATCAACACTGATGCATAAAAATACATTCCTACATGTGTTGTGGTTTAGTTGGAGTTTGTTTTATTTTTACCTGAATGTGTCCTAAAATGCATTTCCAAACTTGATTTCCCTTTAAAAACTTTCTTACATACTTCACACTGGTGAAATGTTGCTTTATATCTTTAAAGAAGAAAAGACATTTCATGTTAGATGCTTTTTTTTGTAACCAACTAACAATAAAGCTTGTGCACAGTCCTTTCTGAGATCTTTAACTGCAAAATAGCTAAATATCAAAGTTTCAAAATTTCCTCACTTATGTTTCTATTTCTTGGCATCTACATCCCAACAAGGTCAATCAGATATCTTTTAATATTCAGTCTTATTCTCTAGGGTGGCACTTCAGTATCTAAAGAGCAAAAGCCACTAGAACTTTTTTTCTGACTCCAAAAATACCCTTAAGTACCATTTTTGCTCAACATCCACAAGAAGCTTTTACTTTGGTAGGATTAGGCCGTAAATAAGGTTCTAGGAATGGCAGAATTTCTAGGTAGGCTACTGCCTACTGAGGAAAAAAAAGAAGAGAACAAGCAGACAACGTGTTATACTTTTAACACGGACACATCTACAATGGCTTCTCCACAACACTAATAAATACTAACAGTTAAAACACATAATTTGAAAAACAACCAGGTCTGTTTATTTCAAATCTCTGAAAGGCTTATATTGAGAGCTCAAGAACTTTAAAACCCTATTGCATTTTCAATTTACAGTCACAACTCAGGTTTCAAAATTTTTACCTACTTTCAGAGCCACTAATCTGCTGCCAGTTTCTAAAATACCTTAAGTGTGGCATAATTCTCACAGTGCTTACATGATGACTAATAATTCAGTTTTAACTAGGCTGCAGTGACAATATTACAGCAAACCATCAATTTAGAACAACACTGAGACAGATAATTGACAGATAAAAACTTGATCCTTTTTAATACTTTTATTTAGTTAATTATGCTACAAAGAAAATATCTTGCTTAAATTGTGAAGGTAATTTTCCAATATCCACTTCAAACTGTAATAATGATATCTCTACCACGACTAAGGTAACAGGCATGACAAACACACAGACTACTAGAATTCTGCTCAAACATCTCAACAAAATCACTTACAGTAGAGAAGTATTTATGCAGTTGTAAAAAACCCACACTTACTTCTGCCAAACTTTTTCTCCTAGATGAACACTTTTATAATGAACGGTAAGGTGATCTCTACGGCCAAAACATTTTCCACATTCCTCACACTGATGTGCTTTTTCACCTACAAGGGCAAAATTCAATAAATTTTGGGTTAATCTTTTGGAATTCATTGAATGTCTAAGAGCTATAATTATAAAATATACAAAAGATTTATGTTCCCAAAGTTCAACCAATCAAGCTCTTCCATAGCTTACCTGGAAAAGGATTCTCTGTCATCATAAAACAAAATTCAGGAAGTATGTTGGTTCTACCATGGTAAGGATTTTTACCACTTGTTATATATGACTAATAATTATCATATATGACCATTTGTCATTCCTAAAAAGAAATTCATGTTCAACTCAAGAGACACTTCCCCAAGCAGCCACTACATGAGAGGTACAAGTGAATGACTAGGAATGCACTCCCTTCGTTATGACCTGAAATGTGATAACTTCAATAATTCAGCTGTTTTAAAAGAGAAGCTTATTGAAACATACCAATGATTTTCAGCTACTGATTCTTGGAACTTAAAATTACACCACAGTATTTATCTTTTTAAATATCCTGATTTACATAGTTACCTTTTCCTTTTATGCTGCTGTTTAAAAGTATCCTGATTCTTTTGAGTCATCTTGAGATCTTCTACAAAGTGGCAGAATATTTCTTCTCATGTAAGTAGGAGGAGTGTGGACAGTCAAAGAATGTAACTTTCTAGAGGGGGAAAAGCAAATAGAGCAGAAAAGAGGATTTTTCTTTTTGATACTTGGAGTTTTCAAAGATTTCTTTATTTGATAGCAGACATGATTTCAAATACCAAAAAAGAAGCTGTCCTTCAAAAAAAAAGGCTTGGGAAGTTTAGACTCTGATCACTTTCATATTTTCATGCTGCCTCATAGTATTTTGCCTCCTAGAAGGCCATATTCCCTCTGGATCCTGTTCTGAAAAAGTCACTGGTGAATCTTTGCTCTTCCTATATATTTGATAACCTTTCTGCTCTCAGTGCAACAGACTTTTTTTTTTTCTTTCTCCTGATCATCCCCATCTGGCTGTTCTCAGGGCTGATTTCCTCAGTCTTCCTTCCTTCCCTCTGTCCCATAACAGAGACTTAGAAACCCCTCTGATGTTCTTACATTAAAGTGATCAGCGTACAAACTTTGACAGAGACTGTGACAGCTTCTTCTATATTGTGGTAACAATGTTTCACACAATTGCTATTAAAAAAAAGAAATCAGAACTCATCAAAAAATCCTCCTTTTTCACTATTGCTTTTTTATTTATTATTTTTAAAGCAATTCACTGTTACATGTTTTTGACTGTCCCTCGGCTTTCTATGTTAACATGGAGGAAATACTTGGCTTTTAAACCTTGAAAACTCATAAGATTAACCCTACTTAGTCGTCCTTAAAAATAGTGAGAGGAACTTTCATAAGGCCTAAACCAGTGCATGTACTGGAAACAAAATCCATAATTAATTTTTATTTGGTTTTATTTCAAAATAGTAATTTTGAAGACAATCTTCAAAGAAAATACCTACCTGAATGAATTTTTTTGTGTTTTGTCAGATGGTCATGCCGAATAAATGTTTTCCCACATTCTTCGCATTCATATCTCTTGTCGTCATGGTGGACTCTTAAATGAAGTCTGCATATTTATAGTCATAAACATAACCAAAAAAATGCAATTTTGTTAACATAATCTGTACTGCTAATGCAGTGCAAAATACCAGAAAAAGCTTCACATAAGTATCAGGAAATAACTTTCAGATGAGGAACACTTACACTGCTCTTAAAAAGCAAGAGAGAACAGAGCTGAACTCTCAGATGTGTCATTAATTTAGCAGGATACTTTAGTCCTCTGCTTACTTTCTCTTTGAATAGCAAAGATGCAAAAGTTTAAGTTGTGCAAGAAACTCAAGTTTGACACAAGATTTGTAGAAGACTGTGTTTAAGCCAGTAATGTATTAAAAATTAAATTACTTCTTACAGATTATGAATATATTTTCAATATTTACTAATGCTCTCAGAGTTCGAATGCACCAAAACACATACAGTACAAAAAATTTTATTGATAACATGAATGTATACATATCAGCAAATAAGCAAAACAGCTTCACAGCTTGTTTAATAAAAATCTGTACCTGTAAGAGCTTCCATGACGAAAACTCTGCCCACAAATACTGCAAAGATGAGGTTTCTCTCCACTGTGAATTCTCAGATGTTCTTTCAAAGTCGTTCTGTTCAACAGTAAAATTTAGGCAGTCAAATTTAATTTTAGGCAATGTCCCTCCCACATCTTTCCCAAAAAAATGCAAGATGTTTTTGCACAACACAGGAATTTTAAGCGAAGTGAATGAGAGGTAAGATTTTCTTAAAATAATTGCACCTCCAAACTAATCACCTACAGTTGTCACCCTCAATTTTAGAGGTGATCAGAAAATCACATGCTACCTTTGGCTCTGACACCACCTTTTAACACACTATCCCTCCGAAATGGTCCCATTTATGTCAAAAACTCAAAGCTAAAACATATTCAAAATCAAAGTACGCTAAATATTTCTCCGTTCTGCTAAAGTTCAAGTAGTCACTCAACTCCTTACCGTTCCCTGACAGATTTTCCACAGATGAAACATGTCCATTTCCTCTTTCCCCCATGAGTACATTCTATATGGCGTTTCAGATTTCCTGTATCATTAAACTGTCGGCCACAAATGTCACAGGGAAAAGGCCCTAGAATTAGACAGACACACATAGCAGTATTAACTGCCAGCTAAACTAAATAAGATGCACAATTTGGTTACTTGTGAAAACCCTGAAAACTTTACTAAGAAAAATTTCGTCTAACAAATTATTAAAGTTTAGTACAATCAGTATACTTTAATTAGACTTTGTGCTCAGATAAGTTATTTCTAATACCTGGTACTTTGACAAATTTCATTACTGTAAAGCAAAAATTTAGAATTAATAGCCTAAAGTAATTAAGCCCACTTAGACTGCTTGAAAAAACAAATTCCCATTACTATCAGCAATCTAGTTCCTACCCAGCAGAAATAATTCTTAGTAATAAAAAAGTCTTCAGAATACTTCAGGAGGAAAGGAAAAGGTCTATTGAAAACTTCAGAAAGAATCTGACTCCATAGCTAAGAACAAAACAGTTTTAAAACCAAAGTAACCTTAAGTCTTCTTCCTCAAAATTTTGACTTTTTAGGTACAACAGAATGATTCAGAAAGACCGCTGAACAGAAAAGTAAAACCCAACCAACAAAAAAACTCCCAAACAACTCTGCCACAAAACTGGAAGAGAGAACTGGAAAAGGAGGTGGGATGGAAACCAGACTGATCAGAACATACAATAGTGGGGGAAGGTTTTACTTTAAATCTATTGTTTACATGTCAGAAGGAGGTTTCTATACCGAGATGGAATTTTTCTTGATGTTTCAGTCTTGCAAACCGGGATTTAAAATGCTCTTCACAATAGGTACACTTGAAGGGTTTATCCTGAGAGTGAAGGATCATATGCTCTTCTAAATGAGGTCTTCGAGTGAAAGATTTCTTACAAATCTAAAATGATAATACACTTTGTCAAAGATACATCAATTATAACCAGATTTTTTTACCATTCATAAACTCTTAGCAGTTGATTTCATCTGCTCTCTGCACCAATGAAAGATTAAATATGTATTCTTTAAAATCTTACTTGTAAAGCCTTGCGGTCAACATCCAAAGCAATCTGTGTTCTACATAACCCATAGTGGACTGTACTATATAAATTAGGATGCAGATCTATGGCAGCCTAAATCAAACTACTGCCAACTCCTGCATGCAGTTACATGTTCCTCTCCCCTCCTTCTTTCTACTGATTCCAGCACTTAACAGACTCTTTTCCTAGGATGTTTCAATACAGCTCAGCAGAAAATAACCCAATGAAAAAAAAAAGGCAAATAGCTGTGACTTGCTTTCGGATGCTGAAATGGCTCAGTTGGACCGTGGTAAAAATTGTTGTAAGTATAAGCTACTGTAGAACTAGAACCATACCTGCTTCTTTATTTCCTCTGGGAAATTCTCTGATAGCAGGTATTAAAGAGAAAATGCCAATACCAACAAAGAAGTATAACTCAAATTATATTTTAGAACTACAGAACCTCCACAGGGTTAAAATTATGTGAGCTTCTCAGTACTGTTTTGAGATTAACCAAAACCCAAATTTACAAGAATTATTAGTAGTGATTGAAGTAAGTATGCAGTACAATTACAGATTTGAAGCCACAGCTCAAATTTAGGCATTTAAACCAGGTATTACAATTTATCATCAGGGTCCTATGCTTCAACATAAATCAACACAGCACTCACTAACTTCACTGTGAAACTCTTGACATTGTCTATAAGAGCTGAATTTAGTACTGCCCAAGTCCCATCCATTAAATCCTGCAATCATTTTCTCAGAGGACACCTAAATAAGGAAATCAAAAGCAACAGCTTTATTTGTTTAAAACTCATTAATGTAGAGTATAGGTGTAAGAAAATCCCATACCTGGCGAAAGTATAATAGCCTTCTTACTTTTCTTTACTATTAATACTCTATTGTTTCTGTTAATTTGCTCATATTCCTCAAGGATTAAAGTATGGTCACCAAATCCTGGTGTTCACACATGGACAACAGCATAAACCAACAACCTGAATGAATCCTGCAGCTTACACCTGTGGCACCTCAGCTCTCAGAACATACCACACAACCTGAAAACAAACTCACAGCACTGCACCCAAGGGTTCTGTTCAATCTCCAACTGCTATAAAAGCTAAAATTCTAACCCTGCTTTTAATTCAAGTGCATTTTCAAAGGACATGAGCTCTACAAGAGCAGCAGCTCACTTTTTTAATTTCTACTTAAAACTGTCAGGAAAAAAAAATAAACCCACAAACCATGAAGTGGAGTTTACCAAATCACTCATCCGGGAAGCATTCTTTCCCAGAAGCAACATCAAAAATGTCACATGATTGATTCACACTATTACAATGTTTCTCATCTACTAACAAACACAATCTGCAACGTGTTTGCACAATACAACTTCATCTGAAAGTTGGTCAACCACGCAATACCTCCAACCACAGCCCCACCATCAAGACACTGAACGCTACAAATTCCTACAGTTGGTATCTCCCAATCTCCTAGTACATGTTTGTAAGTGCAAGTTCCCAAACAAAGCAAGGTTAGTAATTACGTTAGGGCATCTAATATTACAGACATACAGGGGCACACAGCAGCTTGCATAAACAAAACAGCTGCCCTGAAAAACAAAAAGTAAATCAATTCCCTTAAAAAAAACCCCAAACAACTAAACCCCACATTTGAAACTTTAAAACATTCCTTGGCAGCATACAGATAGAGAATGGAAATTCTACAAACTCCTTTTTAGACTAGATGTAGTTTCACACATATAAACCTCTCCAGGGGAAAATCAAGCGCAGTATTCTATGACTAGACATAAATTTAGTACAAATTTACAACTCTGTTGACATGCATATGTAGCTAAATGAGAGAGTGTTTCGTATTTTCCTCACTACTGACAGAGCCTTCCTAGAACAGCATCCTTTATAGTCAGTGCTTGATGCACATAATTAACAGGAGAAAAACTATTCTGTTTTAAAAGTATTCATAACAATCATTTGCAAACTGATATATCTGAATAGCAGTAATAACTGATCACATTAAAAATACTGCCTCTATTTTAGAATTCAAATTTAACCACCTGACCAGAGGCTGTATATGCAGATAAAGCCCAGCCCAGTCCTTAAATCAGCACATAGAAGAAATTTATACCATCATTTGCAAAGCCTTCTGAGATTTCACAGAAACACATATCACATTTTCGCTTAAGTTCACAAAACACAGACCCTATATGAAACCAACAAAAGTACTGAAGATTACTTACATCACACTTCCAACCTTCACTCTTTGTCTTCTTGATAGAAAGAAATTCTTGTACATTCTCTGGATGAAACCTAGGAAAAAGAGAGAAGCTGAAGGTAGGAAGATCACACAAATACTAAATATCTATTTCTAAACTTCATATATCATGACAGTTTATTACCACACCTGCAGAACAGAATACTGAAACAATTCTAGTGCACAATTAACTGGAAAGCAGTGTTTACTATGGACTCCTGTAGAATCTCATATGACTCTTGACAAGACAGTTTCACTTATAATGCCTTATGTATATTTATAAAGACAGAAATAAAAAACTAGTATGTAAATAATACCTTAAAATTAGGCCTGTCATAAACGAATTATTCACCTAAAAGAATCTGCGTGGAAATGGTTTAGCCCCCTACATCAATCAACAGTAAAGCATTCACATCTAAAACCAAAGAAGATATTTTATTCTGCCTCTAAATTAAAAGCAGTACAGGCAATTATTAAGACTGATGTGTTCTGACTGTGCTAATTAACCTGAAAGATTCTAAAATTTATAATAAAAAACCTATAGCAGAACTCTCACAAAAACTTAGGGCAGATTAGGTGATACTGCTAATCCTCATGCTCTCTGAAAAGACACATATTTGAAAAAAATGCTTATAAAAACAATGCAGAATATACTGTGTGCATATATACATTTATCTCCACTTTTAAAATGAAATGTCAGGTACATCTGCTCATACTTGCCTCCTCACGTGTTTTGCTAAAGTCTTTTTGCTTGCATGCAGCTTATTGCAGTAGGGACATTTGTGTTCCTTCTTATGAAAGTCGGTATCACTGGAGTGTTTCTTCCTGTGCACAGTCAGGTTGGACTTGGTTGAGTAGCGCTGGTGACATATATCACATTCAAAAGGCTTCTCCCCTGTGTGCACACGGGTATGGCTCTCATATTTGCCTGTACAACAACAAAAAAAATCTGTTAGCATGGAACTGTAACAGGCATCACCTACCATATACACGTTTGGGGTTTGTTCAACCCAAAATGCAGTCAAGCTCTAAGTATCCTCCACAGGCATCTAAGGATTTCTACTGGTTTTCACCAGTAGTAAAACTGTATTTGATCCAAGGTTCTTCCATACACTTCCACATAGTGTTAAATCTGTGTGAGGGTTACAAGTCACTCTTGTTCAATCCCACAGCACAGTTTGTTCTGAAGTACTGGAAGTTATACTACTATTCTTCCATTACACTGATGGTGAAGTACCTTTGCAGAATGGGGAACAGCCTTGTAACAAGCTGGTACTTCTAAGGTACTTTCAAATAGCAAAACACTGAATGAATGATACACACCCTTGCACATTACCTGTATTTGGGACCCAACATACTACCATAAAAAGAATACTACTCTCTCATTTCTTTCACACCATTTGTATTCCCTCTCCTGGTTGCCGGTTTTTTCCTGAGGACAGAATTCTGTCCTACCCTGCAGATCCACCAACCTCAAGTCAAGCAGTAGGCTCTCTGCTTTGTAGTAGATTTTATTTTTATCTCTGCAGAACATCCATGTATTCTTTAGCATATTACTATAAATTTATGAGCTTCTGTAGCTCATAAATTTAACATACAAGTCAATTGTCTAGTGTAATACAAGCTTAGAAAGAAATACTCTATGTATCACTTCTTTTAATGCATGGTCTCATGTAATCTTTGAACACAGAACTAGGATTCTGAGTTATGAACGTGCAGAGAAAAGGACTTCCACTGTGTGCAAAACCAAAACATGCCATTACAAACCTAAACACTCACAAGCTATTTATTTCTGCACAGTAGTTGTACTTTTACACCCCTTGCTAGCAACCAGAATCCAGAGCAGAGTAAGAGAAATAAATGTAGTGTTTGCAGATTTTTCAAATAATGCACTCAGATCATTTATTGAAACTGTTTAGCACCACAAACACAACAACTTAATACACACAGCAAAATCAGCAGCACACTGGATCAGTGGGACGATTCAGAAATTCTGATCTTCATTCTCTAGGACCAAGAAAAAGCTCGGTTTATTTCCCACACAAACAGCACTACCATATGGTAAACAGGAACGAGATCAACCTAACTTGCTCTTACCTATTCGATCAAATTTTTTGTCACACTTGGGACACTGCAGTAGTTTTTTGCTACTGCTTTGAATGATGACTGGAGCTAAGCCTTCAGGAATATTCCCCACTGAATCAACTGCCTCAGAACCCTCTTCAGTATCATTCTGTTCCTTTTCACTTTGTTCTTCAAATTCCGAATCTTCAGCTGACATTTCCTCTTCCTGTCCCTCTTCATCCACATTGCACTCACTTTCACTGTCTTCAAATTCACTTCTCTCAGATATCTCCTTGTCAGAACTGACTTTTTCCAAATTGCTGTCAGAGGCATCAGCACTTTCATTGTCACTGATATCAAATTTAGCTGGACATTTACGGCTTCTCGTAGAGCGTCTATTGGAAAAGCTGGCCTTCTCAACCATTTTTAACCCATGTTTTCTTTCCAGTGAAAGGGATCGGTGGGCTTTAGCCAAATGATTTTCTAAGGACTTCTTATAACAGAAACTTCGACCACAAAAAGTGCACTGATGGCTATTTAACAGTTTACCTGTCAGTTCACTCAGTGTTTCTACTGGTGTAGGTGCATCAGTTACCACGTCAGTCTGTACATTGGAAACACTTTCGTTATTTAGTAACTTCACTGCGTCTATGATATCTAAAAATTTTGCTGCTTCCAGCACTAATGGAATTTCATTTTTATACACAAAAAACTCAGAGGTGTAGAGAAACTCAAGCAAATGCTGAAACACAGAATGAGTTACATGATCTAATGTGACAACATCAGTGCTTGGATTTTTGCTCAAACAAGCATGAAAATAACTACTCCCAACAGCCACAACAACTTTGTGAGCGCTAAATTCTTTTCCTTCTACAATTATGAGTAAATCACAAAATGATGGATGTTTCTGTCTATCATCATTTAAGTATTTCAGTAGATTTTTGTTATATTGCAATGAACTCAGGAGCTTCCTTTGCTCTGGTGATGGTGAAAGTTCTTGGGAAGATTCAATCTGATCTGCAGGAGCTATTTCTGCAGACTTTGAGACAATTTCTTGCGCACAGTCCACTACAAGAATCTGCTCTGAAGTATCTTTCTCATGGCCAAGATGAACTTTTTCGTTTAGACTTGCAGCGAGCCGTCTCCTTTTCTTCATTGCAAAAGTGCAGCTTCAAGATCAGGAGCTTCATAGGTGATCACCAAAGAATTCCCGTGAAGACTTGGTTCTGCTCCGCACCTTAAGAAAACATGCAACAGTAATTTCATACTCTGCAAAAGAATTATGATAGAAATTAGCACGTAAGCGTTACTTCCTTATTAATGCTTTCTGTATTTCAGTCTTAGTTTTATCTATCCCGCATAACTTAGGCTTTTGTTAAATCACTAAGATGTATTCCCTTTGCGTCCCAGACCATGGCATTACCCACTCGCAGCCAGCGAGCCAACACTGCCTATTATTAGCTCTAAGGCGGCGGCTAGGGCTGGCTTCGCTCGGCCGCCAGACGCATTTAGCCCCTGCAACGCTCCGGGGCGGGCGTGCACTGTTGTTATTATTACACCGAGGCGCACTCGCTCTCCGCTTAACCCCGACAGGCCAAAGCCGCCCCAGCTGCTCCTCGGGCCGGCCCGGACCCGCCCGGCGCCTGCGGGGCTCTCTGTCCCCTCCGAGTGTCCCCCGCGGCCGCGCTCCCAGCCCGGGGCCGCCGCCTTTGTCCCCGCGCCCAGGGCAGGGCCGGGCAGGGCCGGCCCGAGGGGACGGGCAGCACCGACCGCGGGGGCGCAGAGGGCGCGCCGCGCCCGCGGCGCTGAAAATGGCTGCGCCCACCCCCCCCGTCCCGTCCCCCCCGGCGCTACCCCGCGGCCTCTCCTCACGCACCTGCGGGCTCCGGGCTCCCCCCGGGGCCGCTCGGCCGCCCAACGCCGACTGCCCCCGGTCCCGCACCGCGCCCGCCGCTTCCGGGCCCCGCCGCCCGCGTCAGCGGGTCACGGCGGCGCTTCCGAGCCCCGGAGCGGGAACCGCAGCGCGGCTGCGCGGGCGGGGCCGCGGCCGCCTCAGCGCCAGGGCCGGGCGGCGGGACGGGGAGCAGGCACAGGGCGGAGAGCGCAGGGCAGAGAGCACAAGGCCTCGCGCCGACGTGCGGCCCGGCGGGTAAAAATAGCGTGTGAAAGCCAGCAGCGCTCGCTCAAACAGCCGGCCAGCGCTGGTGACTCGGGATGGCCGAGTACTGCTCCACAGCACTGCTTTGAATTTGCTTTCTGCTTGAGTGTTGTGAAGCACAAGGACTTGCCAAATTCCCAGCTGTCGTGCTTCCTGTAGCTCATAAATTTAACATACAAGTCAATTGTCTAGTGTAATACAAGCTTAGAAAGAAATACTTTATATCACTTGTTTTAGTGCATGTTTCTCATGTAATTTTTGAGCACAGAACTAGGATTCTAAGTTATGAACGTGCAGAGAAAAGGACTTCCACTGTGTGCAAAACCAAAACATGCCATTACAAACCTAAACACTCACAAGCTATTTATTTCTGCACAGTAGTTGTGCTTTTACACCCCTTGCTAACAACCAGAATCCAGAGCAGAGTAAGAGAAATAAATGTAGTGTTTGCAGATTTTTCAAATAATGCACTCAGATCATTTTTCGAAACTGTTTAGCACCACAAACATAACAATTTAATACACAATCCAAAAATTCTGATCTTTGCTTTCCATGACCGAGAAAATATTCAGTATTACTGCTTTGAATTTGTCTTCTACTTGAGAATTTTAAAGCACTTCACAGAAGTTCTTGTGAAATCCCGTTTTCGAGCTTCCCGGGTGGCAAAAAGAGCAGCCCCAGGAGTGCCCCTGGCTTGGGGAGATCTACTCAGGGTGCAGTTCATCAGCATATGGAAGGCACTCAGCCTTCTGTTCTACCTCCATCCTTCCTGAGATAACCAACTGCTAGTGACAATGTGACACCGAAAATGGGTTTATTTTCCTGACAGCTTTAAAGAAGGATTAAACTTTATTCCACTGCGCATACTCTGTATTTATGACCTGTAAATCGATAGTGGTTGTCACTCAGCATAACAAACACAGCGTGACTTGCAGGTGTTGCATTTTTCCATAAAAATACTGAAAATTCTCAAAGCATTTGTTATGTCCTGAGTGTTGCTATACTGCCTGCACTCACAACACTGCATTTTCATTAAAGTCTACAATTATTTCACTTCAGGGGTTTTTTAATTTGTAATAGTACATTACAAATACAATATGTTTTAATATTAAACTATTTCAAATAATATTTTAAGTAGCATCAGTTCTTTCATTTAGTTATTACTCTTAAGTGAAACAACAGCATCAATATAAATAGAACAATCAATATTACTATGGTTTTCTTACACTGAAGACAAATATATGCTTGTGCTTGCCCAACTGTAATTTCTGTAGAGTCCCAGTTAAACTGTACATAAACCTAACAATGTTTCTCTATTTAATAAGTTTCTCCATTTTGATTTCGCATGGAAAAAGCAACTTCTGAGAGCAAGGCACTGTAAATTTAAAACTGAGCTTTACATTTCACTTTAATCTGAATAGCAGGCTCATAAAGACATCATTAGTGGGTATTGGCTTCCTGGGTCTTACAGTTTCCATAGCAAATAGCATCATTTGGAATGTATAAAACTATGTGCTTCATCAGTTTTCATGAATGAAGTGCATAAGGAAAATGCAGCCTTGATTAGAACTATTTTGCCAGCAAGAGTAACCAAGTTAGGAAAGTGTTCCGTGGAATAGCCCTGAGACTTGCTTAGTTTCTTCTTTGTTGGGGGGCATGGGGAGGAGGTTTTGCTTGGTTTTGGTTTGGGGGTTTTTTTCTTTAGATAACAACCTGATTCTTTTCCTTTATTTGTTGCTGATATTATTTACTCTGTGTTGAGTCCAATGTGGTTTCTTGGCAGTCTACAAAGCATCTGTGTCTACTTGCCAAATTGTACAAGTTCAGCAGGCATTTTGACTTAGCACAAGCCTAGGTAACACTTTTTTTCTTTCGCTGTTTTATGATACATGAAGGACTTAGTTCAAAGAAAAGTCATACAGTGCTAAGTGATCCATTACCATGCCTGGCATTGCTGCAGTAATTACACTCTAGAAACAAAATGTCCTTGAACCCTCAGTTCATTGTGGTTCTTTCAGCATTAAGTCTTTTACAGTTAAAGCTGTACAGGCAAAATGCAACTATATTAATCCTTTTTGTTCCTATGCTTATTACTAAATTTTCTTGCCAGTTAATAGAATATCCCACATAAATTAAAAAGCTGGCTTTTATGTTAACTAGAGACAGCATCAATCAAAGAATAAGCACTTGCTCACCTCTGTGAGACTGTACAGAATTTGCAGATGCAGCTGCGTAGATTTGTCCAAGAAAACAACATATTTATCAAATAAATAGTCTTGAATTGTTGGAAATTAAGAAGTAGCTTTGTGCAAGAGGGTTTGGTGTTGGAGGAGACAGTTTCATCTTGAAATACTTGTTCTACAGCTCAAAATCTTCAACCCTGAGATATAGTGAAACTAGAAATAACAGATATTTTAATCAAAAGACAGATAGGAAATCAACTCTGAAGTTAAGCACTTAGCTGCCTACCAAACAGAAATAAAATTACATAAAAATACCATGCAGGTTTTAAGACATGACTGAGTAATTTCAGTTTATTCCCAATATATCCTTTAACAGATGATCACTGTAAGTATCCAGTTGTAAATCTAGTAGCACAAACAATCACATCCTCTTCCAGCCACCTTTACTTTGGCCACAACATTTTTGCTAAGGTAAATGTCTCTCTAGGAATTCTGTAGCTAATTTGCCATGGATTCATACTGCTGAAACATGACCCATTCTGTCATTCTTCCTTTTTGTATCCCAGATGTGTCAGTGATGGGTGGGACCTAGGGAGGAACCCACAAAGCCTATACTTCCTCCAGTCTGAGATTTTTCTGTATTTTACTGCCAATCACCACATACACACAAATGTTTCAAATTAGGCTGTGAAGTGAAAGGGTTATAAGACTGTCTAGAGACTCCAACAAGTTTTCTAGCCAACAGTGCTGAATAAAGTCCATTGCTGGAACCATTGCCAAGAAATTCTTTCACATAGGCCATGAAAAGACCACCCAGGTCTCTCAATTCAGGACTCTTTGGGGCACTAATCAGCTGGAGGCTGGTTGTACTATTATGGATGTTTGACATGTGAGTCATGTTGATCAGGCTTCTCCCGTTGTCTCTCTCTCTAAAGTGCAGCAAGTGAAATGTGGAGAGAAGGAGGTCAGATCCACTCTGACTGTATCAGCTTGCCTCACTTCACCTGGAAAGTTTAGTGCAAGGAAGGGTGGACACTGTGCCTCTGCTTGGGTTTTGTTCTCTGGAGTGTTCTGTTGGCAGACATGGGTTGAATAACAATGATCTTGGCCATTCCCACCTCTTTCTGGGGGATTAATGCAGTGTGGAAGTTGCAGAGAGCTGTATGGTCACAGACTCCACAGAGCAAATTTCCTCCTGGGATGTTAATCCAGTGCAGCCCTGAGGTGAAATTAGCAGGGGCTAGGAACAAGGCACTTAGTGCTGTCACAATACTGCAGATGCGCTGTCTTTAAAGTGTGAACTCAGTACTAGGCTAGCTCTACAAGTAGATTCATAGGTGCACTGCATTGCTTTCACACTTTGAAAAATATATCCACTGAGGAAATCCTTGGGTAGAGAGAAATTGCCCATGTACTTTCCTGCCATCCATGCCTGCTCCACACAATCCACTAGTGCTTGGCAATCCAGGGGAAAGGAGGGAGAGGAAAGCTGAACGAAAGAGAATAACATTGGAGGAAATATCTGTCTGCCCTCTGCTGATGTAAGTCTTAAGCAGTGCTACAAAATTATTGTAAATTAAAGCTGTACTCCCTGCCTGAAACTGTGTAAAGAATAAACAAGGACTTAGCACATTTTTTGTTGTTATTTTGAGTGATCCTTTCAACAGAGTACATTAAACCTTTTGCAATAATACACCACTAGCATCAAGAGGTGTTTTCCTTTAAGCAAAGCAAGAATTAGGGAGAAATGTAATATCTTTTATTAGTTCAGATGGTGTATGTCACTGTTGGAAATAAAAACAGTGCCCCAGCTTTGGGCACATGACCTTGAAAAGGCTTAATGTGTCCAAAATCATCTTTATTTTTCCAGCCATATAAGCTGGTAAGGAAAAGGTACTCCCTATTGTCTCTCCCAATAAATCCTGCCTTGTTTCTAGCCTTAAAACCACTGTGACAGCAACAATATTATCAAATTTTCAGTAAAACAAGCAAAACCAGACTTTCCTGTACATATATAATACTAGTTCTCAAAAAGGTACTATAGAAATGTATAAGGTAAAGAGCTTGAAAGTGTTTCTCTGTCTTACATTGCTGCATTTCCATTGCACTGTGCAACGAGAGACCTGTAAAGCTGCCGGAGCACCCTGTGTGCTGAGGGCCTGTTATGAGACAACAAGAATTCCAGTAATGGAGGATAGCAGAGGGCTGATGTCACTGTCACTTTTTTCAGTCAACCAGAAACCAATTATCCCTGGCTGACAGGCCCAATTAAATCATCGGGCAGAGGGAAATGCCAGCTATTCTCCCCTAGAGTTAGGTAATTGGGGCTTTATTACAGTCAGACCTGGTGCTGTCTGTTGGGCCATAGAATACAAGTAAGAGCCATTCTAGTCTGTCTGTCTATCTGTCTGTCTGTCTCTCTCTCTCTCCATCCTTTCCACAAACATTAATCTATTTTTAATCCCTAAGAAAAGTAGTTACATTTTACATAAAAAATAATAATCTTTTAATATATATTCTCTGTCACAGTATGAACCCGAAGATCCTTTTATCTCTTCAAGTTTATAGATAACGTGAAGTTAGGAGTTCTGTCATAGAAGGCCTCAGGTGATGGCTGTGTAATGATTTATACTTAAGATCCCACGTTTTTTATCTAGTACTCTTGCAAGGATATAGAAAGTTTTCAGCTCATACTACTTCGAAACTTAAGAGCATGCTTGACATAGTATTAGGCTGATGTACTGAGGGGTTGCCTAATTCACTGTATGGATTGTTTGGAGCTGAAGAAATGAGGCACTAAGATGTCAAAGTCCATTCTTGTTCAGGTTAGCACTTAGTTGTGGCCCACCAAGGTCTTAAGAAAAGCATTGCTTGCAATGACACAAGGAAGAGGTCCTGAACTAACTAGTTCATTTTAACTACCAAGTTTAAATGCTTCTTTAATATTATAAGCAGTGCAGCTATGTTAACACCAAATTCCAGATGAGCTAAATGCCCTGTATCTGTTATCCAGCCTAGCTAATTTAGAGTACAGCACAATGCAACCAGACTATTTATGCCTGGACATAAACACCTTCTTGAAATCCATATGAAACAGAACTGCGTTCCCAGGGAAAACCAGCTCCTGTGTCTTCCCATAATGCAGTTCTGTCACATACCTGTCCATCCTATTGACCTGCAATTCCTTTGCCAAGTCAGAAAAGACCTCTGCTGTGCTTGCAGCATCTCTGTTCATGCTACAGAGCCAATCTGTTTGTGCTGGATGAGGTGGATGCCACTTCATTTGAGCTACACAGTCAAGCACTTGCAGAACACTTCCATTGCCCAGTAGAACACAGAATTTGGTGCACAGGTTAAGCTACAACTATATGCATGTAGAAACGTCTCTGTACAAGGTGCTCAGTGATTTGTATTTAAGAGTAAAAAACCCATTTGCTATTGAAGACTTTTCAGAAATAGGGTATAATGCATAGAAGTTTCTGAATGGGATAAAAAATTAGAAGGCTGACAATTGTAATTTCTTGGAAGGCTAGCACATGAAGCTGATAAATTACCATCAGCTTTTAAGCTTTTGTGTCTTTGGATAACACCTGCTATGTAATTTTAAGGACAGCTAGAAACAGCCATATAGGCTAATCAGCTCAGTGTTTATCAAGGCTTCCCAGAGCTCTTCTCCTTCCCTTTGTGATGAACTGGACATAGTTACAGTTGTCAGGCAATCAAAATCCATCTCTCTGCTAGAGAGGCATGGTGCTTCGAGGTGTAGGAGGAGATTAAGATGCTATTCTGCATTCTCCTGAATCTGTGTAATTTGTAGATGCTATTGGTTTTGAATTATAAAGATATGTATAATCTACAATACATTTTCCACCAAAGACACACAACTGCAGAAATTTAAGGATGTTTTAGGGTTAGATGTGTATTTTAACTGCCATTGCTTATTTGTCTGAGCTAAATTTACATCTTCTATGATGCATTGCCTGTTTACTCACAGTCAGGATGAAAGGCTGCAGTTTCGAAGCTTATGTCTTGTGTAACTCTGCTCACTGTAAGAAACAATCATTACATAATGAAAGCATTACATCTGTTTGTTTCTGAACAATCATTATAGTGTAAGTGAGAATTTCAGGACCCTCTTTTATTTATGTGACATTCAATATCTGCTTTCTTAATTACATTTGAATTATTTAATTACAACATTTTCCTAAGAAAATATAATTAGATTCTGATATCAAGAGGCAGACTGTAAGTATATTAATTAGGCTTTGAGGCCACTATTAAAAACCTGGAGCAAGACAAATTTGCTTCCAGTCAAAAAAGCAGTAGTTAGAATGTGCACTGTGCAAGCACACAGCACAAAGAAAAATGTTTTAACTAAAATAAAAAGGGGAATGCAGAATTAATTCTGCTTTGTTAGCAATCCAATATACATAAACACCCAGACTGTACAAGAAGCTTGTATGAGAGATTGCTACAGAAAAGTTGTTTTTAAAGAACAGTCATTCCAAAGTAAGTATAACACCACGGAATAATCCTGTGACAATCGCCTTGCAACAATGACCTTCCCAAATGAAAAATGAACCAAACCAATTGGCTGCCTGGGGTGTCACTGGAGCTAAACCCATTTCAGTTAATTTCGGAACACTGTGGTTGGTTGTATATCTCTTTTGGTGTAGCTGGTTGTTATTCCAAGATTAATGTTATTTCATCTAGAAAGAAACATGCATTTCCAATGAAAACAGCTGAGGGGGAGAACCAGTTCTTAATTTTCCTTTATTAGGCTAAATTGATAGAGTACTGTAACCCTTCAAAAGGCTAGTTGCTTTCCTTCTGGAGGAGATATGATTGCTCATATCCTTTTCTATTGTTGAATTTTATGCTACCCATCTGTTTGCTAACAGTGGAGCAGCTTTGCCAACCTCAGCCACAACAACCTGGGTGCTTTGAGACCTGCTGGATTCAGTGGTGAAAGGGCTGACAGAAACTTGGGTGCCTTTATGTACTAAAGATTTGCTATTGCTTTTCCTCTTCTGAGTGTTTTTTAAATTCTGCTTATACTAGTGCATTTTATTTGAATCAAGATAGGGAGAAGAGAGTTCAAAGTAAATCTGGGAGTGAGAATGCTTTCCTCTCCTCTGAAAATATTTTCCTTTTCCTGAACTAAACCACAGATTGGAATCTTTAATATTTGTTTATTACCTTAAAAATGTGTGATATTGCATTAGCTTAAAGGTTTGGTTGGAGGAATCTTAATTTATGTCTCAAACTTTTGAAAACACTTTAAAATTATTTTATCTGTACAAAGGAAAAAAAATAGCAAGAAGGTTATACCTTTTAAAATTGCCAGAACTTTTCTTATCAGCAATTTTCAAATAAAAGATGGTTAAACCCCCCCACAACAAAACATACACACACACACACAAAACAAATTAACAAACCCCTATCCTCTTTCTTCTGAAAGGCTCCAAAAATTTCTGGCCAGCTCCACTTCAAAGACTAGGTGGTTAAGGGAGACCACCATCCAACTTTTAATTTCTGCCCAGTTTTTGGAAAATATCTCTCCCATTTACAGTGGCATACGGTACAAAACAATTGTGCTCACTTTTTCTCATGATAAATGTGAATGGAGAAATTTGTCTCATATTATGCATAGAGAACATATCAAATTTGCATTGATATTGTTTGGCCATTTTTTTCTTCCTATCTTGAATTACAAGTGTAACATCTATTTTCAGAATCAGCGTGGCTTCTAACACATAGAGGGATATGATCCTAAAGAAATGCCAGACTGTTAGAGGGTCACACTGAGTGACCACAAATAGTGCAGTCTGCTAGACTAGTTATTTCCATAGCTTATAATGTAGAGAAGAGCAGATAGAGTATGTTCTGCATTCCCAGCCTTTGGAAAATTAATTTCATTTCTTGAACAACTAGCTGATTGTGATTGCCATGTCATAACAAAATTTGGCATAATTCATGTAGGTTATTGGTTCCTATCTTATTTAAATACAGTGTTTTACAAGGACATGGTATGTTAATCTACTTCATCAAGTTGATACTGAAGCCTGACTTTGCTGCTGCAGGAGTAGAGGGGGTCAAGGTTAACATAGCTCATGTTTATCCATTCTTCAGTAGTCAGATGCTGCCAGAGGCTATTTCATTCACTCCAATTAATCTTATTTGTTTAAAAAGAGTTAGCTGTAAAAAGAGTTAACTCTGTCTTTAGTCTACAGTTCATTTAGCAACTTACAGGGCTACAGTTTTGAAAGAGCTCAGCATTTGCTGTTCTTCAGACATGTGAGTTATCCCTATAGGTTTAGCTGAGGACTAAAAGTTTTTCAAAAGTCCTGTGGAGTGTGGAGTTTCTCCTTCCTCTGTCACACCAGCGCTTAACATCCTCAATTCTGAGAGCAGCTGAAAGCTAAGAGGAAACCTTACCCTGCCAGGATGAGGAGCTGCTGCAACACGTACAGGACATGCTGCTGTGAGAACTCCTTGTTTCCTACTGTGAACACATCTTTTTTAAACAACTTGCTTATAACCAAGGTACTGAAGTTGCAGTTTCTGACAGCAAAATGGTATTTCTCTGATAGTGGTAATTACATTAGAAGTGCTAGCTTAGAAATTCCTGTATTCCAGAAACTCAGAGTCTCAGATTTAGAAGTCTCAGTCCCACAAAACTATATTTGGTGAATGTTGGTGCTAAAGTCAAATCTGAGTGCTAAGGCAAGACCTCTCAGCAGCTGCCTGTGCAAAAAATCATAATCACCCAGGCTTCCACTGTATTGGAAGAAGTTACTACAAAAATGCCGTATATTACTCAAAGAAAAAAAAAAAAAAAGGTGAAGAAGTCTTGATACCCAGGAAAATGGAAAGCACTGTGTGAAATTCAGCATATGCAAAGATCTCAGCCTGCCCACACACAAAAATTAAGATGCAGTTCAGCAACAAACTACCTGGTGATATAAGGGGCTTTCTGGATCCTGGCAGAATCTAAGTCAGTTACAGTAGTAACATCTGCTCTTTCCCCCTCTTGCATCCAACATGATGCTTAGAGATCAAATTGTGCCACCTCCATCCAGGGAGTGTTTTCCTTTCACTGGCAGGGAAACATGGTGACATCACATACATCATCATCACTGAGGTCAGTATCACCACCCCTGATTAAAATAGGTGTGAGATAATCTGAATCAACACAAGTGTGGAAGCCAGAATATTTCATTTTACCTTGTGAACAATATAATTGAAACTGACAAACTTTCAGGATTTAGTTTGCAACAAAACTGCAACCTTTGAGAAATGCATTGGCATTAAGATGAATGCTGTCTTAACCAATACTTGGCAGAAACTTGAATTCCCTTTGGGGCACTTACTGTTACTTATTGTTCCCATAATATTATCTAATACTTTAACACAGAGGCCAAGATTCCCAAGAGGAATTTAGTGCTTGCCAGGACCCAGACTGAGACACTTCAGAGATGCCTACAAGGAAATTTTGCTTTGCACTTTCTGGAAGTCTGAACATCCTTCAACTGAAAACCTGCAAATCAAAGGGCTCCAAATCGTCAGAGGCTTTTCAAAACCTTGTGACAAACAGTCAATATACAATGACTGAATATAGAAAAACCAAAAAAAAAAGAGGGATATTAGTGATCATGAAAAATTAAGAAGCTTCTGTATTTGTCTGTTACAAATATTACTTTTTGAGGATTACTGTGGTTTGCATTTCCATTGCAAATTTCACTGCCTCAAAATGATTTGTCACTGCAAGCACAGAAAAGTAAAAGCAGGGAAATAAATTGTTTCTTGGCCCTCAGCCCAATGCTTGTCCTGTGAAACCAAGTGGGTTGTCAGGTTTCTCTATTTGTGAAGACCAAAATTCAAACAACAGTTTCAGAAGCGTCTCCTCCTTCCCAGCCTCTCCATATGACTGTAATTAGCATCCTGCCTTGTCCCTAGGACAATTACAGTATTTACCAGAAGTAAAACGTTTACATATAAAGTGTGTGTTAAAATCAAGCATATTTGGTTACTAATCCTGCCTTTCTGACTCTTTCTCCTCTTTTACACTGTTGCGTGATGGAATTGTCTGAATTCCTTGTGAAATCACTTAGTATTGATTGTTGCTTGACTATACAACTATCTCCTCTGCAATAGATGGGTTTTTCAATTTAATTAATGTTTAGGTCTTTCTGGTTTGTGATATCTCACTCCAAAGGAAATTAAAAAACATAATTAGAAGAGGATCTGTAAGAATGTTAACATGTCTACTCTTCTGAAGTGAAAAGCATAGAGGGAAAAATAAATGTACAGCCCATTTAGATTTAATATATCAGTGCTTTTGTAAAAACACTATTTGCCTCATTTTCTCAAGCAGTCCTATAACCTTGACACTCACAGGAAGCTTATTGGTACAGACAAAAACTTCCTGATTATCCGGTTCATTAGCAGCAAGGTACAGAATACTAATTGCCAATTTTCATCTGCATTGACAAGGTCTGACCGAGCATTCATCTGACAGCGGAATTGCTTCCCTGGTAATGCTTCCTGCTTCCCTGCTTCCTGATACCTGCTTCCCAGCCACACAAAATGCAACAAAAATATGTTATTTCACAAAAATTAATCAAAGATTAAAATAAGTGAATCACACGCTGTTGAGTTCTGCAGGTCCCGGGGGAATCCTGTCATGCCTTACACAGCCACTTTGTTTTGTCTTCCTAAGTGTAAAATACTCAGGAGAGACTTCATATGAAAACACAACAAAGCAACTTAAACCCCTTGCCAGAAATGCAATAATTTGAACAGCATGCACCTTAACTAGTTCCTGGCCATGAGCAAGTACGAAGTACTTCAGGCAAATACTGCTTGAAGTGAGCGTAGTTGAAAATACACTTGGCAGTCAAGGCTGGTTATTGCTCCCACCATTTCTATCACATCCAAAATTATATATATCTGAGGGAATTAACTTGACATTCCTGTAATCTTTGGCTAAATTTATATTTTAGGTTAGCAGGTAGAAACCTCTCATTATTTAATAGGAAAGTGGCTACGCGGAGAAGCAAAAAAGTAGTCATAATTTCAAAAAATGTATTACATTTAAGGAAGCAATATACTTGGCAGATCCTGCAAAATAATTTTACATTTTCAGATAAAGCCCTTCAGTTTTATTAAAAACTTTATAATCTGAAAAGTGGCAGAAGTGGAAGCTTGTGTTCTGCTGGGTCTTCTGGAAGAGAATGTTCTGTTTTGAGGTGCTGCTCAGGCTGAGGAGGAAATAAAAAGAGCAAAGCAAGAGCTCAAAGGGAAAACCCCAAATATTTACACACCCTAGTAAGAAGTAAAAAGAGGCTCAAAAGAAGTAATATTTGTAATATAAGAAGTTAAATATAATCACAAAATATTTATCTGTGGAAAAGTACGGGCCAAGGGAATTTCCAACTGTCTCTTGCCCAGTGCTCCCGTGGATGGTGAACTTGTTGTGGGAAATCAATACACCGAGTTGTCCTTGTTGCAAGAGGCCTAGTTAAAATGCAAATAGATCTATAGCAGTTTTGAATATGAGATAACTTCCTGTTACAGCACAACTCTCTATCCACAAGAACTTATAGCCATCCCTTAATCACATTGGTTTATCTATTATATTGGTTTGTCCATTTGTAATCACCTAAAGTGCTACAAGCTGAAGATAAAAAGAGTTACCTATTTTATGAAAAGGGTACAAGTACCATAAACAGGGAGATGATCTGGATGATCTGGTCAGGTCCATTGTTCTAGAACCCATCATCCTGAGTTTTAAGTAAATACTTCAGAAGGTATTTTAATGCCCGAACCATGATATCAGACCAGAGTAACTTCATACCCTAATAGTCCAGAGTTTTCCATGAATGAAGCTCTCCCAGTGGAGATCCCCAGTGAAATTCAGAATCCCAGTTTCATCTGTGATGAAATTCAGCAAGAACTTAAGAGAAGATGTACACAAGAAGCACCATTGAATGCTAGTAAGAAAATCAAAGATCCTTGATAAAAACAAGGACCCTTTTATAAAAAGGCTTTCTGCATTAGGTATTCAAAACTGGGGAGCGAGCAAATATAGGCTAGAGCTTGTGCAAGAAATCTAATGCTATGTTCAGAGGATCACAGGATCATATGGTGGGAAGGGACCAGTCTAGTTTGATCAGGTCACAAAGGACCCTTGTCCAGCTGAGTTTTGCATATCCCAAACCTCTCTAGGCAATGTTATCTTTAGCTCAGTCCCTCTTCCACTCTTCCGTGAAATCACCCACCTGTTCCTGAGTAATTACCAGTGCTTTGCTTCCAGTGAACAAAAAGATTCAATAAAATCTTCAGGTTAGTCATCATAAGGCATTTTGTAAACTTACGTCTTCCACTTGTGAGGGAATTTTGCACTTTATATGAATTATTTAACTATTCTAATTTCTGTTCATTTTGTAGTTTAGATTAAGACTACCAGAACATTTTACAGACTGGAAAAGAAGTACCAATTACTGAAGAAAATCACCTATAAATATATTTGACCTAGAAGGCACAGGATGGTGTCAATAAAAATTGCACTTTAAATTGGAACGATATTGAAAAATCAGAAAACAACATGCTTAGCAGTGAGAGGCAGAAGATACACGATTAATTAGTACTGCTGTCATCTGAAAATTGAAAACGGTGCTTATGTCAGGAAACAAAAGATGTTAGATAATGAAACTTGTAGGACAGAGTTGAGTAAAATATTTCAGAAGAGATGACACTGACTCGTACAGTCTGATACTACACCACTCCATAATTATTGCACAGAGGCAAACAGAACCAAAAAGGCACCACTTAAGTGAAAGCAAATGGCAGCACAAACCCTTTTTCCCTGAGAAAATGGCACAGTCTTTGACTTTTATGACTTCAGAATCTCTTCAAAGCTAAGCTGTACTGAGAAAGCATGGAAATTAGATTTAGATGTTATGTTTCACTGGGTACAAATGATATTAATGCAGAAATTCAAACCTTATCCTGTAGGCAACTTCAAGGAATCAGTGATAAATTAATCTAGTTCATTCCCCATTAAATTCTGCGATATGAATGGCTCATGAAGAAGAAGAAACAGTTGAAAAAAGGCATTGAGAAATGCAGAGTTAAGTTTCAAAGAGGTTGAAAAAGCAGCTCTTTTGGTTATCCTGAAAGCAATTACAATGTAATAGCTTTCAAAAGACCTATGATGTGTTCATACACTTACTGTATGTTTTGTAATTACCAGAGTTACACGGCAGGTTATTTAATTCCAATGTCAACATATGTGTTAACACATGACAGATAAGTTCTCAGACCAGTGGCATAACTTCATGTCTCAGAACTGCTAAGTTTGCTTAGAGTACAGATTTTACATATACTTGTACGATTTTCAGAAAAATATCCAAATTTAATAGATGTGACTGTTCCATTGCAGTACTTACCATATATTCCTCAGAACCGAAAGCTTCGTATTTGCTTAAATTTTGTGTCTGTCTTTCTGAATATTCAAAGGATTTGTTTTTTTGAATTGATATGAATCTGTAGGTCTTCAGATCAAATATATTCTACCAACTGTTGTATGTATGCCTTCTTCCTTAAACTTCTAGATTAGTACACTAATGTTTCTCTAGTAAAGGTGAAATTAATTTAATCAGCAGTTGTAACCACAATAAGATGACATAACAAATTCCTGTTAATGGAGACTATTTCAATAAAAACAGTTTTGTAATTGTTCAAAATTATATCAGAGAATGTTGTTGTTCTAAGTAAGTTATATAATGGCAAATTTAAATACTAATGCGCTTAAAGCAGGCAATCAGCACTGACTCAACTGCATAATTTAGCCCAACAGAAGAATTCCCAGATGACAGAGTACTATTTTCATGCTCACATTGGAATGCTTATGTATTTTACTAGATAATTTCAAACAGAAACTAAATAGACAGATGACAGGGAGAGGGAAATATCCAAACAACTATAAATGTAAATAGAAAACAAAAGGTATTACGAAAAGTGAAAGAGCTGAAAACTACAATTCACCATTTAATTATATTTAACTTTATAGTTGTCTAAGTAATTTCCTCCAGGAATACTTTTCATCATAATGTTCCTAGCCTATGAAATTTGGCCAGGAAATTCAGCCTGGGTTGCCATTAGAGAGACCAGCGCTGGTGGGTGCAGCAAGGAGGCTCAGGGAAGTGGGAGTGTGGAGGCTTCCTGGGAAGCAGAAGTGGTAGAGCTGCTGGAGCCAGGAGAAGGGGAAGAGGGGTCTGGAAAGATGTGCCACAAAGCCAGCAGTGAATGAGTGCAACTGCACAGGAATGAGATGGGAAAGAAGGAAGAACCTTGCAGCAGGAGAAATTTTAAAATTATTCAGTTCACTGAGCTGAATGAGTGGATGTAAAAGTACCTGCCAATTATAAACAGCTTTCATGAGTTCACGTTGGTATCAACAGTCTGCTCCCTGCTCACCTGAGGCCCTCAGCATATGCTTGACTTTCAGTCTGCTCAGTTCAGTTAAGTGTACATGTAAAGTTAAACTCATTATCAAAGGCTTCCTGAACTGGGGGTTAAGATTTCGCTGAAGTGGAGAGGATGAAAGACAATATCAATGTATTGAGTGTTATCTATTTACAGTAGCATAACCTAGCAATGGCCAAGCAGACTTTTCAGGCTGTTCCTGGGCTTGAGAATGCCTGGTTTCTTCACTGAGCCAAGGAGGGCAAATGCCAAGAGCCAGGAAGACTGGTAGAGGTGAAGGTGGTAGAAAGAGTAGTTTCACTGCCAAATGGGCAGATCATCTCTGTCTTGGCCTCAGAGCTGGAATGGTGCTACAGCAGTCACTGCTGTGGTACAGCTTACCCATAGTGAACATACAAACTGGGTTTGTGAGATCCCAGAAGGCCGGCATTTGTACTGGACCATCGACTGACTATGGCTGCTGGGGCTGTTGCTGTCCTCCCTCACTTTCGCTTCTGCTAGAGCAGGCTGAGGTTTTAATACCTGTGAACAAAGTTGTGATCAATGGATGAGGCATTGGACATAGAGACAACTTTGGGCAGAAACAGGGGGAGAAGGCACCGCGCTGCGCTGCCATGGCAGCTGGGGAAGGCTCCCCCGAGTATAAGCAGACTGGTGACACTTGCACCAGTCACAGTTGTTTAAGGCCAGTTCTGGCTAAAAACAAACATCCATCCCCTGCTCTCCTCCCCTTCTCTTATCAATCGTACTATGTCACCTCCTGATTCTGTAAGTGACTGGTTCCTCCATGAGCTGTTCGAGATTAAAATACAACCTGATGACGCTCAGAGGTCCTGTGCCAGTTCCCAGTTATTGTGCTTTTTAGTGAATCCAGTGTAAACAACAACAACAAAAACAGAAAATACTATGGAAGAGAACAGGCTAACACCTGACTACTGAAAAGACTGCGAATGGGGATGTTTCATCTTTTCACTTCATATGCTAATGATGTGAGATCCAGAAAAAACTCAGAAAGCAGAGTGTTTGTTAGCTGACTGTGCAAGAAAGCATCAAGTGTTTGCACTATGAATTAGAAGGAGTGTCGTGTAGTGGGGGGTTACTAGCAGGTAATGAGTGATATCTGTTGAGCTGCTAAGAGCGCACAGTGCTGTATCTGCGGTGCGGTGGCAGCCAGGCTGAGTGCACCATTCCCCACACAGTTCCGCAGCAGACAGCCGGGAAGAGACTCCAGTCCAGCTCGCAGACAAATCTGCACCAGGTTTGAAAAATCACTCGGACCGGCCGAAGTAAAACCTTAACAAGCACAAGTGCCTTTTGAATCAAAGTCTGCAGGTTTGCAGTCCACAGGCTGATGAGGGGCACAGGCAAAGATGGCTTGTAGGGGGCTGGGTGCCTTGGGTATGCCCTTAGTTTCAGAGATGAGGAGAAAGCAGTGAGGATCAGCACCAGCCCTTTGGATAACAGGCAACTCAGCGGAGAATGTCCTATCAAGATGAATATGGCTCATTCAAGAATTAACTCTCTACTCATCTTCTACCTCAGTTTTTTGCTGCTCATCCATTTAAAAAGTAAGATTTGCACTTTTTCTTATTGTTCTGACATGTCCTCTGGGTAGATGGTTAGACAGGCACTTCTAGCAGGAAGCTTGTGTTGTCAGAAGGCTTTAAAAATTTGATGGAGATGCCAAAAAGATTTGGTCTGTGAAACTAAGTTGTATGAACTCATTGTTTTGTAGCTTTTCCAATGCTTAAACTATTTTTTTTTCTAAATCAGGAATGAAAGCATTTTGTTGTTCAAATATTGAATGTACAGCAATAAATTGTTCTGCTAAAACTGTACCTATACTTTAAAGTCTGCTTTTTGATACCACTCATGCAATAAATCTAAACATTTCTAATTAAAATCGAGAGTAATTTATCCTTTTCTAAAGCTGTTTATGTAATGTATTTTAGTATT